CATCAACAAACTTTTTTTTTTTTTGGTTTTCTCCATTTGAAGCTCTACACAGGCTAGGACATCTTGCAAAACATTGCTAAAGAACAACGCAGTATAGTCAGAAGCAAACTGYTGTATTAAATCCCTTCCCAAGCCTGCAGTAACTGCTAAAAAAACCTGTATTCCCTAACATCTTCCTATTATCCCCTAACACCTCGGGATGTTGCCAATAATAAGGTCTCATAGCCTAARAGGGCTCAGTGCCACTAACTTGTTAGCTATAAACTACCATTTCCCAAGGTCTCCATGAGAGGAACCACGTTCACCACCATTTCAAAGCAATATGCTGTTTTGTACAATTAAGGGTAGGTAATTAAGGGTAAGTCGGGTTTCCTGATCTCTCATTGCTGAAGTGGGAACATCGAACAGGTGAGTTTGTCCTTAGCTGACTGGATTACAGCATTTTTGCCTGTGAATCCAGTTACTACACTTCCATCAAAAGGCTTCAAAAATAAAAGGATCCTAGGTTGTCACATTAGTTTAAATTTTTTATGGCACATTAATGTTTCTCTGAACTTGGATCCTTTTAAAAGCAGTTCAGAGAACGAAAAATAATAAAAAAGCAGCTTCCAGAGCGTTTCAATAGCGCATTAAGTTATGTATTCTGCATCCTAGAGGTGAAACGTTTTTAGCATTTATGGGAGCTCTGGGGTTCCTTTCCTCACACCGAGATGGCTATTAATACACGACAGAAACCATCTGTGATCTCCTGCTCTGAGGGCTTAAGCCCCAAAGCATTCGAAAAGCCTATGCATAATCCTTCACTCACATGGCTGATTGACCACACCACACATAAGGCAATGTGATGTACATGCTGTGATGTGACAAGTCCAAAATATATAATGTACTACTTTTTTTGTTGTTGTTGTTAATTAGAAAAATGCGGGTCTTTTACAAGACAATTCTCTTTTTTAGAGAAAGGCATACTGCACTGAGGGGTATTAATGTGAGCATCACTCACTGAAATATAGAGACAAGGCTTATTTTAAGACTTGTGGACATGAAGTACACATTAAGAAAATGATCATGCTATTGCTAGTGGGAAAATGATTGTCATTATAACCTTCCTATAAACAAGACCGGGGCATGATTATAAACTTAGCTCATTAGAGAGAGAGCAGCATCCTGCCCCTATGCTGGAAAATGCCTGGGCCATTTCTGTTACGCTCCACCCGAGCCCAGAGGCCGGGTGGGATAGTACGTGACAACGGCCAGGCAGACGGCTCGAAGTTGGGCAATTACCAGACCTCTGATTCATGCAGACTTCATCACATTGGGGTCTATGCCCATGAACATCTTCACCCCAGGTTATTTTTTTTTTCTGGAACTCCAGATCAAAGCTAACTGGGAAGAGATATAATTCATTTCAGTCAGCACGGGAATATGTCTGGTTCACACTTGATTTCCAGAAGCCTGTATTTTCACCACTTTGTTCTTACCTTRAGTAACATGATTACTCTTCCCTACCTGTCAGTGGAATTGGCACCTACCAGCTTCTTCTTCCCCCTTGGTACAGAGTCTGCAAATAAGGAGCCAAGATGAGAAGCAATGAAATAAAGTAAGTTGTGACTAAGGAATCTGTGAGTGGATGAAATGGGGGAGAAACGGGGTGTTAGGACAGCACCTGGCAAAAACAAGCACTTAAGGACAGAAGTACGGCTCCCCACACCCGGCTTGGCTCCGAGCAGCGCAGGGGAGAGGAGGCTGCGCTCTGCCAAGCTTTCCCTCAGGAAAGCTCCCGGGATTTCTGCCGCAGGAGCAGGCATCCAGTCTCTCATCCTGCCCCAGGGATGCATCCCTGCCGTGCAACTCACCTTTGCAGCCAGCGGCCTCCCCTGGGGCCAGGTGCCTCCTCCCTCACACTGCACTGCTGAGCCACAGAGGGGCTCATCCTGCTTGGCCCCCCGAGGCAGGGGAAGCGCTGGATGGAAACATGGATGTGAGACACCATAATCTGCATACTTCTCCCGCTTACACTTTCAATGTGCTGACCCTGTGCTTTTCCMGAGTGTGGAGTAACACAGACGCATAATTTGGTTGTGTGCACGGGTATCGTTCTTCCTGCAAAAATAAATAAATGAATAAATGAATAAACAAACCCTAGAAAACACTGCTGCCACATGATCAGGTAGACAGCGTACCCCACACACTAGTGCAGGAATACAGGGGTGCAAACCCCTTTGCTCACCCGGTAAACCTGTCCCCATTCTCACAGGTCAAAACACTCTGAAACACAAGGCTTTGTTCCRCAAATGGATCATAACAACGATTTCCAATACTAGGCTAACGGCTAAGCTAATGATTGAGAAGAATGGACATTCACATCCCACAACACTTAAAGGGTGGATTTTATCAGGTTGAGGCTAAATCCTTCATCTGTAACTGCCTCAAATCACCTGATACAGAATGAGTCCTTGTGTTTGTCTCCTTACTGCCACAAAACAGTTCAGTGTTATTTTCTCTAGAGTGGCTCTCTGTATGCACAGCCTTGGGTTGTGGTGTAAGAGCAAACACTGCACTGAAAAACACTGATCTAATTCAAAACCTGCAAGAATTAAAACGGGAAAAATTAATGGAATTGGTCAAACTCAGTGATGGTGGGAGCAGGGGGCAATGCCACCCTGCGTGTGTTTCACATTGGCGTTGCACGAGGCACGACATTTTCTGCAGAGTAAAATGCAACTCCAAAAACTGTGTTTTATCATCCTAATGTCCAGAACTACATATGACAACGGGCTGCATCTCGTCCAACTGACAATCCCCATGAGCCCTGTGTTAGCCTGGCATTTCAGTCTTCCGAATTCATTTTCCTTCAAATGGATTGCTCAGCAGTAATGATTATTCAGGAGAAAAGTGGCAGACAGGGTCAGGCAGCACTAGAATGAAAAGTGAAGACTTGAAAGATGCTGGATGAATATTTATGCCGAGCAATCTTCGCTCTCACATTATGGCACATAATGGGATCAGCAAAGCTAACGGAATTCACGCTGCGTGAACTTCCTCTGTGAGAACTCAGTTTAATCTGTACATAAGACTGACAACCCGTGAACACAGAGAAAACGCTCAATGGCATGTAAAAACTTCATTGAAATAATGTTTTTGACTCTATCCATGCTCTGGCAATGGCAGAATAAACAACATTCTTCCAGGCAGATTTTAAATCCACAGGCCACTTTTTTTAAATGACATCCAAACATTGTCGCAGCAGACTTTGTTCTTTTGTTTCACTGCTAATTTGGTATGTCCTACTGGCAACCAGGAAGCATCCATAGGGATCATGTTATGAGGACAAGGACTTGGGAACAGCCTGACAGTGACCATCACTGATGACATGAAGGGCTGATGACTATGAAAAGCAGCTGGGCTAAATTTCTGCTGCAATACTGAGAGATCTTCCAGGGARCGCTCTGAGTAACAGAGCTGTTGGCTTTGTGGCATTTATATTTTTTTTCAGGTTTTCCTTCAAGGTGGCCATACATGGACTTCAGCGCAAAGATAGTGAAATCCATCCCTGTGGTACAGGGGCAACACAAGCAGTCTGCTCTTTCGGGGGATGCAGGTTCACAGCTGCAGAGGTCTGCATCTCATGCCCTCTTCCTATTTTTGTGAGCAGTTGCTATRAGAAAGAAAATAGGATGACTCATAATTAAGAACAGACCTTCGAATTATTGCTCACCTGTGGTTTAATACCTAAATATTTAAACATCCATCTAAATTAAGTTTGTGCAAGTGTCTTTAAATAATAAAAAAAAAACTTGCCTAACACCAGATTTTTTCCTTGACATTTCTAAAATAAACTTATGTTTTTATTATGTCCCAGTTCAAATGCTGGAAGCAGAGCTTCCCCTGGCACAGTTTAGCGCTTCCTCCCCTAACCCTGGGGCCTGGCTTCCTCAGTGTACTTCCTTGTATGCTTAGCACACACCTAATCCCCTTGAATTCAAGGGTGCCTAGAAGTGCTTATGGAATTCAGGCCTATGCAAGAAACCGGGGGAAAAAAACATGTCTCAAGTTACTTTAACTATGTGAACCCTTCAAAATACTGTTTCAGTTTTATTCATGAGTTTATCAGATCTTTTTTATAAACCTGTAAACTACTTTTCGATAGGCACTACCAATCTATCGTAAGTAATATTAACCACAGAGACACAACCAGCTACAGCGTTGTTACTTTATTATACAAGAATATACAGACCACAAAAACACACAAAATTCAGACCGGACTACTCCTCACAAATAGCCCTCCACAGCTTATTTTCCTGKGTAACTACGTACCAACCCCGTGCGCAGTTATTTCGGACGGGCACACCACTCGTCCCCCCTGTGTCTGGGCAGGCTAACTCTATATTAAGGCCCCGCGTGTCCGTCCCCATCGCGCCCCGCCGCCCCCCTCATCCGCGAGCCTACACGTACGTGCGCCTCTCGGTGAGGCTAAAAATAGCCCCGGCCGCCTGACAACTGGCTCCCGATTGGCTGCTCGCGCGGCGCCGCCAGCCAATGGGAGCGGCGGCGCGCGCGGCGCCGCTGCCGCAGCGGTTGCGGCCGTTGCGGCGGGGCCGCTCGCGGCGGACAAAGCGGGCGGCGTTGGCGCTGAGCGGCTGTGGGGGGTGAAGTGTTCGCGGTGCTTTTACCTCCCCGACACCTAAAAGCTGTCGCTGAGAGGGAACTGYGTGCCAGCTCCCGCGCCGTGGAGGTGCCGTCTGCTTCTCGCAAGCCCGGCACAGCGTGGTGGCGTCGCCGGGCTCGCTCCGGCCCTGTGGGGGCCGCTGTGGCCTCGCGGAGGCGGCGGCGAACGGGGAAGGGGTTGGTGGCCGCGAGGGGGCGCCGGCGCTCGGTTCGCGGTGCCCTGGCTGCGTCCCGCGCGGGCGGCGTTCGCCCGCAGAGCGAGCTGAGGTGGAGGCGTGGGCGGCCGGGGCGCGAGTGTAACCGCTGCCTTCCACCTTCCTCTCCTTCCCCCGCAAAAAAGGACAGCATATRGAAAGTACTGCTTTTATAAATGGGCACAACGCTCAGCACGCAGTATTTCTACACCAACTTTCCCTTAGCACACTGTAAACCTTTGAAGATCCAAACGGCCATGTATCCAATGTGTACATCTGTATGCTTAGGTGTGCATCTGGAGTCAGCATTACCCGGTCTTTGAGGTTTTTTAATCCTATTCAAACGTGAAGGAGCTTGCAAATAGTTATTCTGGGAATAAATTCGCACCAAGAGGAATTAAGRCCCTTGGTTCGTCAAGCAAAACACTTGAGCATGTGCTGCAGGTCTTTGCTCCTATAGGAGTTTAGGGCCTGACTGGAATTTGTGCTCCTTATTGTATATCTGTTTTACTAGTACAGTGTACAGAAAGTTAAGGAAGTGCAATCTTTGCCCTAGAAAATTTTGTATCTGAAGAACTGAGATCCKTCACATGCTTAAATGCGTGCATATCTTTGATGAAGTGGAATTAGTTGTGACCAGAACGTTAAGCGCATTGTACCAGATTTTGGCAGGATTGTTGATAGTTTAAAACAACAAAGATACTTTTGTGTAAATGTAACTGCTTTGCAAATATTTACCACTACACATTTTCAAGCTATTTTCAGCTATTTTGTAGATTCTGAATGCAGTTCCTGGCATTCTTGGTATGCGGCAGTACMTGTGCTCACAAACTCATACTTAAGGGAAACAACAGGTAATTGAAATGACACAAATGGTATAGAGATGTGTTTTTTTGATRTTTTTGTTTTTTTTTTTTWATGAAATTCTCATGAAATAATGTTATCACAATTACGACGGAGAATTTGGTGCCTCCAAATCTAATTTCAGATAAAATACTTGTTCAATGTACAATAAATACCTCAAGTTAATAGTTCCCCTGCAAAAAGGCATAATTTTAATATATAACTGCAAATATGTATTTGCATACTATATTCATGCATGCACATAATGATAAGATTTGACTCTGATATCTGGTGATCCTTTATACTCATAAAATGTGCTGAGGGGATTGGGAAAGCAGAAGCAAAATCTGATCTGCAGGATGTCTCTTAACTAATTCAAGCTTTGGATAATTCTTCTGGAACTGTTAAAAGATACCACAATTTCAAGGACTGTTTTAACTCTCATAATTTCTTTTCCAGAACCTATTTTYTGTGGATTCCACAAGGATTAGGCATCGGAGAGATGTGAGTCCAAGACAAGTTTACTGAAAATAAGAACTGTGAAGAAGTCAAGTGCAGAAAATGCCCTTGTGAAAAAAACTGCAGCTTCACATTTGCTTTGAGTCCTTGATTCRTAATGACAGAAGTAACCTGTTCTATATTACGGACTATTTTAAATTATGCTTTGAGACCCTTAATATTTTTTTACTTCACATTTTCTTTCACCTTAAGTACAGATAGCCATGAGTATTTGAACAAGCTGTTCCTTTCCTTGTCCATTTAGGCTGTCAATGTCAATTTGYAATTTACATATGAATTGCTTGATATCTTTAGCAGCAGAAAAGTTAACTATTAACAGTTCAAAAGGTTTCTCAATTATAAAAGGAAAGATCCCCGTGGCAAAGAGCATAGSCAGTAACTATCTACCACCAAGTGCTAAAACACATGTGAAATGAATGTTAACTGCATGGAGCAGAAGGAGGCTGATTTCATAGTTTGAGACTTTTATCATGAAGAAAATATGTATTCTGTTAGCTTCAAATGCAGTAGTATTTTCTGTATGGTGATGACRTTCATAAGAAATAGCATCATAAGCCTGGCACTGTTAATGCAAAGATGGTGGAAGTTGCATACACAGGAACTGGAAGAAAGCCAACATCACTCCAGTCTTCAAAAAGGCAAGAAGGAGGACCCGAGTAACTACAGGCYGGTGAGCCTCACCTCCATCCCCGGGAAAGTGATGGAGCAGCTCATCCTGGCTGCTCTCTCCAGACACATGGAGGAGAAGAAGGTGCTCAGGAGTAGCCAGCATGGATTCACCAAGGGGAAATCCTGCTTAACTAACCTGATCACCTTCTACGAAGGAATATCTAGCTGGATAGATGAGGGCAGAGCGGTAGATGTGGTCTATCTGGATTTGAGCAAGGCTTTTGACACTGTCCCTCACAGCATCCTCCTGGGCAAGCTCCGAAGGTGTGGGATAGATGAGTGGATGGGGAGGTGGATTAGGAGTTGGCTCGATGGCAGGGTGCAGAGAGTGGTTGTCAATGGTGCGGAGTCCAGCTGGAGGCCTGTACTTAGTGGTGTCCCCCAGGGGTCAGTTCTCGGTCCGGTCCTGTTCAACTTATTCATTAACGACCTGGATGAAGGGCTGGAGTGCTCCCTCAGCAAGTTTGCTGATGATACTAAACTGGGAGGAGTAGCTGATAGCCCTGAGGGCTGTGCTGCCATCCAGAGGGCCCTGGACAGACTGGACGACTGGGCGGCGAGAAACCTCATGAGGTTCAACAGGGGCAAGTGCAGGGTGCTGCACTTGGGGAGGAATAACCCTGGACACCAGTACAGATTAGGGGTTGACCTGCTGGAGAGCAGCCCCGCAGAGAGGGACCTCAGTGTCATGGTGGACGACAAGTTGACCATGAGGCAGCAGTGTGCCCTGGTGGCCAAGAAGGCCAACRGGATCCTGGGGTGCATTAAGAAAAGCGTCTCCAGCAGGTCRAGGGAAGTGATCATCCCCCTCTACTCAGCCCTGGTGAGGCCACATCTGGAGYACTGYGTCCAGTTCTGGGCTCCCCASTACAAGAGGGATGTGGAGCTGCTGGAGAGAGTCCAGCRCAGGGCTACCAGGATGATCAGAGGCCTGGAACATCTRCCMTATGARCAAAGGCTGAGAGAGCTGGGYCTGTTCAGCCTGGAGAAGAGGAGGCTGAGGGGGGACCCTGATCAGCGTGTATAAATACCTCAAGGGAGRGAGGGAGGAGGAGGGGGGCGGCCTCTTTTCAGTGGTGGCCAGTGATAGGAAATGGCTTCAAACTGAAGCATCGGAAGTTCCACAGGAACTTAAGGAAGCGTTTCTTCACTGTGAGGATGACAAAGCACTGGMACAGGCTGCCCAGAGAGGTTGTGGAGTCTCCTTCTTTGGAGATCTTTAAAACCCGCTTGGATGCAGCCCTGTGCCACGTGCTCTAGGTGACCCTGCGTGTGCAGGGGGGTTGGACTTGATGACCTCTGAGGTCCCTTCCAACCTTCGGCATTCTATGATTCTGTGATTCTGTGAACAATCCTCCATGTGGGTTCTAAGAACTTCCCAAGGACTCGTGTCATCCCTTGAAGTTGATGGGACTTTTCSTGTGTGCTCTTTCTGAGCAACAGAACCAATTTTGTGTCTTTTTAACCATCACCACGATCCGATCAAAACTTGATCTGCATAATCACCTCACCGATACAGAGTGAAAGGGTTAAGGCTTTTTAGCAGCATATGTGTTTCTGACAATTTAACTGAAACATTTTTCATGCACATTGTAAMCTGGAGGATTCTATAGATACCACTTGTCAATTAATTGCAAAATCTATCTGGTTTTGATTTTGCTGCGTACAGCTGCAAATATCTCAAAGCTTAAGACAGTGAAATAGCTTAGAAATATGTGTTTAATGTCATTAATACTGACATTTGACATCTCCAGCGTTTCTTGTATTCACTTCTTCTGGATTTATCACAACCTGAGGTAACTTACCAGATTAAACCTTCATCAAGAACATATTCAGCTGTTATGGTTTCTATAGACCAAACTTCTCAACTGATTCATTTACTTTTTTTTTTTATTTATTTATGATAATCTTAAATTTTGTTATACATATTGTTTCCATTTTTCATTTGCTTCATATTAAACAATACTTATTGTAACGTAAAGGTCTTTGGTCTTCTATAATTTCTGAACAGCCAATTCATGGTAGTAATTCTTGCTGCACATGCTCTGTTTTATAAATATGATATTTTATGTATTACCCTATTTTACGTAACGCTTAGACTATCTTTTCTTTAACTGTTTGYTCAGCCAGTGCCTTTCAGCTGCCTTTTTGAGGGCTTTAATTATCTCCTCGTCTCTAAGACAATTGTGTAATTAAGTGGTCATTTTCATTCTACATTGGTAATTATAACTGAACCACTGAAAAGTGCRTCAGCTTCAATATGAAGAAATTCAAGTCATTAAAAATATTCCTAGAAGAAAAATATGCTTGAAAGGATTCTTCTAATAATACATGAAAGTAAAAGTAAATAAAAATGGTAAGATCTGAACTTGCTGTAGCTTCTCCAGTTCACTGCTTTAAATGATACACTTTTCTTAGCTTTGATGATCACAAAAATATGCTGCTTCAAGGAAAATTTATAAATGTGTTTCTAGTGGTTAAACATAAGTCTCTAAAGATTGGAGAACATAGTGATGAAAGTACATATATTGTTTCATAATTTTCCATGTTTAAAGGTACCTTTATTTGCCTTCTCTATTTCTAGCACTGCTCCAATGATGCACATTTGTGTTTGTATGCATACATACCTTTAATTTTCATTATCTGTTTAAACAAAAAGTRTATTTCCTCTTTCAAGATTCAGGAAAGGGACAAGGGACTATTATAGGGTTTTTTTTTTCTTTGTTTGTTTGTTTGTTTGTTTTCCCCAGCTCTATTAGAAACCTAATAGCCCTAAATCCAGCAAAGTCAGCTGAAGCTCACTACTTCTAAAATTAGGTCATTTCGCAAGTCCTGTGAACAGGAGTTCAGAAGCATGAYCTCCAGCTCTTCACTGTGAAAATCTTAGACAGTTTTTTATTTCTGCTGTGAAAAAGGGTTAAAATGCTAYTATTTCAGGGATTCTAGATTTTAAAATATGTGTATGTGCACCAAGGAAGATTTGTAATGCTGTAAGTAAACTGCATTTTTCTGGCCTCTGGAGTCTAAATATATCGTACATACATGTATGAAGTATTATCTGTGCAGCTTTATAGTGTAGGACAGATGAGAGGGGTTTTAGTAACTTCTCCAGAGCAGTCAAGGAAATGTGTTTTCAAGATATGTGTRTTTGTGCTTTCCATGGGCAGCATATGTTGAAGCCTATGGAATTCTGTTGTCTCCAGTAGCTTTCAGATTAGAGCCCAGACATTAAAAAAAAAAAAAAAGGAAAAAAGGAAAAAAAGTCTTAAATCAGTTAGAGGTCTAGATTCAGTCAGTAGTTTCACATACAGTCATGCCACCAACGTCAGTGGGTGTTCAGACAAGCATTTCAGTTCTTCCATGAATGACCAGTCTGTCCTGCTGGAATGTCCATTTAAGTACTACTGTGAGGTACATTTCTGTCAGAGTGCTGTGGCGTGAATATTTTGAATTTTAACATTTATTTTAATGCTTACTGAACTAATAAAAGAGCTATATAAAATCTACAAAACATGTATATTTTGGAGCTCATCCTTAACCTCTTACACATTTCCTGGAGATGGTGAATTGTGTATGCATGCCTGCATGCTTGTGGATATAATATGGAACTGGATCATACAAGAAATCGAGACTGCCAGTCATTAAAAGTGATTCTCTCTCCTCATGAAGATTTGACATGGATTTGAGACTTTGAGAACATGTTTTGAGATACATTTTTTAATTTTTTTTGAAAGTAATGGTTTGCAAGCTGTAATTCACATCAGGAGTTATGATAATTAAATTATAAAAGGAAGAGCAAAACCTGCAATCTAAGGCTTAAATCAGCCTCTAGATACACTGAAGGATCAAGATGAATACCTATGCTGGTGGTCGTGAGTGCTTGGCTTCTAAAGGCTGTTTAAATCCCCACATTAAGTGGGAAAGGATTAAATTGGTCAGTCTAATTCTGTAGAACAATTCTTTTCCTAGAGTTTTCCAGAATCCTTGATGAACATTGGGCTATTTAGGGAGACAAACCATCTGAAATTTGACCTAGCAGAATCAAATAGGCATGTACTTCTCTAGTTGCACTTCATATGGCTGTGGTGTGTGGGCAAATACTTGATTTGTGGAATTTCTGTTAAAAACCAACATTGATGGTGTTTTCATTTTAAAGTTCTGTGATCAGGCTACATAGCCATCCATGAGAAGCTTAAGGGACAGCTGATTGAGCTTTGGCTCCMAAACTTGGAGTGCTGGTTTGAAGGTCTAAGCTGCAGTGTGATTTTTCAAAGGCCCACTCTGTTTATGTCAGGCTTCATTTCATATCAGAAATGAAATAACTACAGTTCAATATTTTTCTAGTGTGTATTTACAATTTTGTTTTTTTCCTCTCTTTCAACATTCAGTGAGCAGCCATTCCTGGCAGAATGCCTGAAAGGTGTCAGTAATAACTCAGATCTGAGAAGGGAAAAGATCCYAGAGATGTGTTAAGATTCATTAATGATCAAGGCTTTATCTCCACAAGTTGTGGTTATTATTTTCACTGGAGTCAGGAGTCATACTGCTTTGATGAGGAATACAGCTGGACCTTAGCCAGATATTGATATTTCAAAAGTGATGATCTGGCTCTAAAATTGGCCGCAGCAATGAACAGCTTCACCACACAGATT